ATCCATTGCCCGCGACAGCGCGACACCAGGTGGCAGCAGGACCCTGAGAGCAGGCTGGTGGCTGAGACTCTGGCTCAGGGTGTAAAATCTGGGGGATTCTGCAGCACCCACACGCCCCTACTCTCTGCACCAATGTATTGGGCTAGATTTCATCCATGATGGACTCAACTGTGGTGAGAGTGGCCCACCAGGGCACTGCCATGATGCGGCGCCTGTGGTGCAGAGGAGACAGGACTGGGATGCAAAGGCTACGAAGGGGGGATTGTTGTGTGGCTTCTACACACGAGAGACCCGGTGGTTCCCTATCAGCCATGTTCTAAAGATACTAGAGGTGCTGGTCCCTCAGCACTGAGGGGAACTTCCCTGAATGTACAAAACGAGTACATCAGCTGCAGCCTGGTATGTCTGGTCTCTTGGTTACAGCTAAACATTGATTGGTCATCACTTACCATAGACCGTGAGGAGAAGGGTCCAATCCTCCACATTTGCTGGTTCTGTCTTAATCCGGGCCTCATAAACTCCGCTGTCGCCCAGCTCCAGGGCCTTGATCCTCAGCGAGGTCTCGTTGTGCATTTCCAGCCTCTGCTGAAATCTGTCGCTGGGATTGAGTCGCTCAAATTTACTGCCAATGAACTCAGCCAGCTGAATCTTCTCTTTACTAATACGAAAGTACCATTCACTGCTTTTCATATTCCCCTTGTGGGGTGGAGCCACAGACAGCAGGACGGATCCTCCCAGAATCCCATTCACCCGGCGGGGGGGAGTCAGTTCTTGGCTAGTTCTGACACCTAAGAAAATGCAAAAATAAACCACTCAAAACAATCCAAACCAAACAACTCTCCCCTACACAGGTAGTGATACTTGATCAGACCTGCGCTGCCTAGGAACAGCTAGAGCTGCCCCTTGCTTTTGTAAGGCTTCGGACCAAGCGCAGGGCTGATGTGGTGCATGGAGAACAAGAACGGCGGAGTTAACAGGGTATCACATCCCGTCCCAGGTATTGGTTACGGAGAAGGCACAGATAGTTAGTGGGGGTGAGAACGTTTCATTCACACCCACCCACATCATTTCACATGCTCCTTAAATGTAACTTACCCCTCCCTGTGTTTGTTTGATAAGCAGGAATAGTTTGTTCTCTGCTACAGAACCTATTTCTTATCCACCAGCACAGGTTTTCTTCATCGCAGCCGTCCCATGAATGGCAAATAACCAACAAAATACCCACGTTTTTCTCTTGTCATTTGCAGTGTCATTTTCTCTCCCTTATCATTTGATATTGAGGGTAATTCTGGTTGCATTAAACTCAACTCATCTCATCCCAGTGTGAATGGCCCCGGGGAGATCTGTTCTTTGTATTGTCCTTCCAATTCCATTTGTCTCCTTAATTAACTACTGCAATTCCAATGGGAAATAGGCTCCTTCTTCTCTGACTTCCTGAATGGCTGTTGTGTTGCTGTGCGCTGTTGAACAACTGCCCCGCTCCACCTCAGAGGTGGTCGCATTCCAAGGGTGGGTTATTCATCCACGAGCATCTACCACCCCAGCTGAGATTACGGCCTGTTGTACTAGGTGCCGTATGTAGCGAGAGTCACTCCCTGACCCCAAAGAATATAATGGAGTGGGAGCCAAATGTTCAGAATATCTCTGTATGTTGGGAGCAGAACTCTTGTGAAAAATTCAGTCCTGTAGTTCCTGAGTCTAGTGACTTCCCCAGACACCTCTCTTTGCCAGCTTGTACCTCACGGCCAAATCACCTCATCTGTAAGCAGGCAACGCTGCTGTTAGCTTGACTCTTGCTGGGAGTTCTGCCTGAGTAAGGACTGTGGGATTTGGCCCGTATTCTATAAAGAGGCTTGGGCGGAAACTGGCTGCATGAAAAGTCAGGGGTGCACGAATTTCAGCCGATCCGGAGCCAGCCTTCTTCGCCTGCTATGCTGCCCATTGAGGGGGAAGCGACAGCGGCACGCGTGTCTTAAAAGGAAGATCAAGTGCCCACATCACAGAGTCTGTTCTGCCTTCACTCCCCCAGTGGCCAAATTTACACTCTGCTTGTTTCCTGCACTGCAGAGACATCGCCTGGCTCCGCATCAGGGGCTGGGGAGAGTTGGGTTTTGCTTTACCGGTCACAGATAATTATTTGAATTGCTCCCCCGCTCCCTGCTTCCCCGGAAGCTGCTTTGGTTTGCAAAGCACAAACTGATATGGCCAGCCAAGGCCTGGCCAAGCCACCGCACGCTGTCTGTACCAGACTCCCTGCGGCATGTGGGTTTGCATGAGACGCATAGATCTGCTCCGTGGGAGACGGCGCACGCCCCGCCCCCCACCCCGAAAGAGTCGCTCGGCTGCCTGGAGCACTGCAGGGATGTGATTCCCACAGCCAGCCGGGCGCACGCGGCTGCAAAACAGCCCAGCAAGCTAGACAAAGGGCAACGTGCTCTGAGCTCGGCTTGCAGCCGCCACGCAGACCCAGGCGCTCTGGTTAGCCGCTAGACAAAGGGCAACGTGCTCTGAGCTCAGCTTGCAGCTGCCATGCAGACCCAGGCGCTCTGGTTAGCTTTGCAGGCTGGGCCCCTGGCGACCCTCAACACCCGATCACACTGCAAAGTGCCCATGTGCTCTCTGCTATATGAACCGGAGTTAGTGCAGCCGGGGTCAGTTCCCACCTTCCAGCCAGATCTAGGGGCAGGCGCCCCAGCTAACGGCCTGGGGTGCTGGGTTTGGAGCCACTGGGCTGGGGGGAAATGGGTTTGAAGTACAATGTGCTGAGTGGGCCCATTTGTCATGGGTGTACACTTCAGGGAGTCTCAAAGGGAGCCATTGCTATAAGCGTAGAGGAAATAGATTTTTTTATTTGCTTCTATATGGCACAAATAAATACAGATTTACAGACCCTAGCAGGCATCCCCTATGCAGAGGATAAATCACGCACGCAAACCATGCACAGTCCAAAAATGGGCTACAATACACAATAAGGCATCCCAAAGTCTAACCAATGGAGGGGGTGGCAAAGTCAGCCCTCAAGTAGGGCGCTGATGGGCCTAGGGCTGCCCTACACACCTTGTGGGGCAGGGAAGACACACGCTTCCATCTCCACCCCGCAAATGGGCACAAATATAATTAGTTCTTATGGGAATGTCTCTTGATGCTGCTGGAGCAGAGTAAAGGGCCGAGGCTGCGTCTACACGGCAGCTGAGCGTGGGAGATCCAGTCCCGGCAGCCCTGCCTGCGCTAGTTCAGATTATGCCGGCGACGTGGCTCTGACAGTGCAGGTATGGAGTGGGGGAGAGTCTAAGGGGGCAGCTGTGCAGCCCAGGTGCGCCCTGAGAACCTGTCTGCTCAGCAAACAAAATCCAGCAGCAGCCACACTCCGATCCTGGGACATCGGACTTGGGCTGACTCTGGGGGCTGGGCTGGAGCCAGGTCTCTGAGACCTTCCCCCCGGCTGGTTTCAGAGCTCGGCCCCACCCCAAATAACTGTGCTGCTTTTTTAGCCGGGCACCGTGAGTCTGTGGTCCTGGGCTCTGAGACTCACTCCCTTTTCTGCCGTGTAGACAGAGCCTGAGTGTGAATGGGAATCAGGCTCAGGGTTTAATCTGTTCCAAGTCCCCGTCCCTCTAGGTTCTAGCCCCAGCACCTCCGGGCTTGCGGCATCACTTAAAGTAAAAAACCTGCATGAGTCCCAGCACCTGTCATTACGAATTGAGGTTGAGTGAAGGGTTGAGTGAATGGCATTGTGAGAAGCAGAGTCTTGCCTGGGACCTGGGCCTGGCTGGCTCCCACCTGCACCGTGTTACTATCTGTGTTTTATTTAGAAAAGGGACCAGTCCAGAGCCACCGACCCAAACTCCCTCCTTTCTCAGACTTTCCAACCCGCAGCCTGATTTCCCAGCACGGGGCCTCCCTCGGGACCAGATGGAACTGAACCAGAGTAGAGCCCCTCCCGCTGGGAGTGAGCGAATACGCAGCCCTGAGCTTGGGCAAGATGAAGAGCTTATCCTTAGTGAGTCATTAATTAACGGGTAATTAGTCATTAGTTTCTATGGAGTTGGTGCATTCATTGAGCGGGAACATTCCTACAGCTGATCAACGCCTCCCTGGAGGGAACACCAGGGTGGATCCAAAGAGCCGCTGTCACCCAAGGATTTGGGCAGCTGCGCGCCTCTCGAGACAAGACGGGCTTTCAAGGCCCGTGGATCAGTCCGCAGTTTTACAGCTAAAATGACAGATGGGCTCCCCTAGAGCCAAGGGTCCCTGAACTCCGGGCCATTCATACTCCAGGTCCCGCTGTGTCTGATGGGGGCACCTACACACAGTGAGAAACTGGGCTCTTGCACATCGACAACAGGAGTAGGCAGTGATCTTATAGGAGCTCTAAAATGAGGCAGTTTTTACACCAGGCTGGAGGCCATGGTGAGGGGCAGCATGAAGCAGGAGAGGAACAGGTGTGTGTGTGTGGGGGGGCATACCTGTGGCTAGCTACATGGCCCTGTTCCTAAGGCCGTGTCTCCCTTGCACTCTGGTTGCACACTGGGCTTTAAGCCTGCAGGGAAAGGGCTAGAGGTGGAGGCCACGTCTACACAGGAGACCAGCAAAGCGCTTCTAGAGCGGGCACGGCCGAGAGCAGCCACGCAGGGCTTTTGCAGGGAAGGCTCATTGCGCCGCTTCCCAGCAAAACGAGCAACCCTGGGAAAACTGTGTCTACCCCAGGGGCGTTGGTGGGCCAGGACTCAGCCCTGCCTCACACCCGACTGGCAGAACTGAACTTGCAGAAGTCTGCGGGCTGGACAGTGCCAGAAGCTTTGTCTACACTGGGGTTTTGCCCCAGCTCTGGTCCCAGGATCAGCCGCATCACCCGGCAAATCCGCTACTTGCACTGATAGCTATTATTCCTGTTTGGAACTGGTGTGAATGGTATAAAGTGGTTCTTCCAGCTTACAGGCAGGAGTGCCCTGTTTGCAGTCACCTAGTACCCCTGCCCGGGGGGATCCAGAGCAGTCGACTGGCTGAAACTGGCACAAATACCCCCCCGCCCGGTGTAAACGAAAATTTACTCCCTTTGAAAAGGCAGGTCTCCAGCGATTTCTCTTTCACTGGCTAAACTGAGCTCACTTGTGCTTGCCACACATGGTGCCAGAGAGAGACAGTGTGCCAACCCTAGATTTAAACTGGGGGAATCCCGAGAGTGAAGTTTTGTCCCCCTGTTTCTCTGTCATTACTACACAGTGTTCTATAAGTGTGAGAACATTTTTTTTTAACTCCCAGTCCTATTATTAGAGTGTTCTACTTTAAGATATTCTTGGCCCATTTCCTTCCAATGTGAGACAAAAATTCTGCCTCAACCCCAGAGCTAACTCGCCCGGTTTGAGACAGAGAGGGCTTTTTGCGGGGGTGAGATTCACAGGCTTCTGAACATAGTTTTTGACCATTTTTACTCTTATTGTAATTTCCTCATGGCAATTGGATGGATAGAAGAACAAGAAAGAGAGAATAATGGAAGCTTTACTTTAAGGGTAACGATGGAGTTCTATCACTCCATAATCTCGCACAGTGTTTCTTAAACTTTTTTTTATAAAGTAACTCTTTAAAAAAGAAATTATAAGTACCCCCATTTAAAAAATAAAGGACCCCCAGTACCTACAGTTTTCAGACACACCTTTTTTTTTTCTACCCGTGCAACACATATGTTTAAACATCTTAATCGTAGCTGGGCAGGCAATGAAATTTTGGGGTGTGAAAAATACAAAAATAACAAAGCGCTGTAAAACTTAAAACAAAAATTCAGTTTTCTCCAAATTTGACGTATGCCCCAGACTTCTCGCGAGTACCCCTAAAGCTATGTCTACACTGCAAGGTTTTTGCGTAAAAACCAGTGGAGTGTCCATACCTCAAGCGCATTTTGCGCAAGTGGAGTGTCCATACCTCAAGCACATTTTGCGCAAAAAAAAAAATACAGACAATCGACAGGACAGAGGGCTTTTGCCAGTAGAGTTACTCCTCTCCCCACGAGAAATAACTCAGGTTATCTGATGGCCATTCTGTTATCAGCTATCAGAGCTTTCTTGTGCAAGAGCATCCATGCACTGTGGATGTTCTTGTGGAAAAGCACATCAAACTTTTCAATGCGCTTTTGATGTGTGAATCAAGAGCATCCATGCACTGTGGATGCTCTTGTGGAAAAGCACATCAAACTTTTGCAATGCGCTTTTGATGTGTGAACGCACTTTTGCACAAGAAGTTTTTGCAGAAGATCTCTTGCACAAAAACTCTGCAGTATAGACAAAACTGCAGAAGATCTCTTGCACAAAAACTCTGCAGTGTAGACAAAACCTAAGGAAACTCATACCACTGGTTAAGAAACACCAATCTAGCAGAGCAGACAACCCTTTTCTATCTTAGGCTATCTCTTGACTGCAGGCTTCTTTCGGAAGAAGGTTTTCCAGAAGAGATCTTCTGAAAAAGAGCATCTACCCAGCAAAAGCACATTGAAAAAGCGATCTGCTTTTTCAAAGTATAGCGTCCACACTGAATGGACACGTGATTACTATCGATGGAATGGCCACCACTTTTTCCTCTTTCCTCTTCTTCCAAAAGAACTCCCTCTTCCCCATCCACACACGCCTTTTTCCGAAAGAGCTTTCGGAAAAAGGCTACTCCCTTGTAGAAAGATGTCAGAAAAACCCCTCTGTTCTTAAAACTTTTTTTGAAAGAATGCGATTGCAGTGTGGACGTAAGTGACGTTTATTCAGAAACATGACTGTTTTTCCGAAAAAACTCTGCAGAGTAGATGTACTCTTAGAGGGGTGATTCTGATAGTCTGGGTCTGCAAAAACAACGAGGAATCCTGTGGCACCTTAAAGATAAACAGATTTATTTGGACATATGCTGATACCCCCCAAAAATTTGCTAGTCTATAAGGTGCCACAGGACTCCTTCTTTTTGTTTTCTATTTTGAGCCTCCTCTTCCCATTAGCAGGCATCTCAGAACCACTGAGCAACGTGGACAGGGCAGGGTGGCCTGACACTGAAGGCTTAGAACCGTGGTCTACACCTTTGCCAGTTGCAGAGGTAAAATAATATTTTTATCCAATGAAGAAAGCATAGCCTCAAATTTCTATCCCTCTCTAAAGCTCCTATGAGCAAATGAAAAGAACGGAGAGCGGCATTTCAATCCAAAAATATATTCCAAAAATGGGACTGTGCATGTTAAAACCCTTCTGATGCAGTCTGTGATCAGTTCCACACACACTTGTATGCCCAGGACTTGGTTTAACTGTCCTCGGAGCAGTTTTAAGACGCAACACTTCAAAGTCGAGCTGTACTGATAGCATGAGAGGTGCCTAGACCGAGACAGGCATTTTCTAACTTGGAACTCCCAAATCCTTCAAACGTTTTGTTTCTCTACCACTTCTCAAGCGACCCATTTTATGGAACTCTACGAAAAATTGTTTTTTTAAGGGTAGCAGTGGTACAGAATAAGGAATGAATAAAATGCTGATATGAACCCCCGGCTTAATTTTCTGTCGCTTCTTACTATAGTGTGTATTGTAAATTTATCTGAATTTACTGTATATACGGCAGCATCCAAAACCATTTTTTGTTTCTCTAGGATTTCTCAGGCTACCCATTTTCCACACTCTACAGAAATTGTTATTTCTTTTTTATGGGTAGCATCGAAACAGAATAAAGAACGAATCTCCTGGCTTAGTTTTGGGTTGCTGCTCACTATAGCCTGTATTGTAAATTCTCTAGATTTACTGTATATACGGCAGCATCGAGAACCATCAAGTACCTAGGGCTTTGGAGCACAAAAATGCAAACATATCAGCAAACTGAATAAATCCACAGGAACAGCCAGATGGGTTACGGGTATGAAAAAGCCGCTCAGACCAACTAACTGCCTTTTGTCCTCACAGCCAGTCAAAAATGAACAAAAGTCCAAGGGCTTTGCTTACTTTTTTTGACAACTGTGAGATTTTTTTGAGGGATACGATTCCAGTTTCCCTCTGCAATGTTTCACGCCACTTGCCCTGCCTGTTTCCTACATCCCTGCAACTGAAATGCATTTAGTGGTTAGAGTGACAAACTACTGAGCACTTTCAAGAGATTTAGTGACACACCAGCTTTTAGTTACAAAATATTCTAATAATACCCAGCTTGCATTCACCAGCCATTCCCTTCTCCCCCTAATTCTAAACTATTACCCAGATAGATAAGGTGGCTGCTGCGAGCACCAGCACATCAGATGATTTGCTAAAGAATCTAGCAGTTCCCTGCAACCATTGGGTTAATCACAAGTCACTGTGACTCACCAGCACTTTCCTACTGCAGACAAATTCCTGCTTCCCTGCCCACATGCGGGTCCCCCCCTGTGCTGGCAGGATTTAAGCCAGCGGTTAGTGACTTACCTGCCAAGAAACTGATCAGCGCCAGGAGCACTAAGGGGACCGAGGGGCTGACAAGTGTCACCTCCATGGCTTCATCTTTGCCTGCAGCTGGAGCAGTGCTGAGCTGCGAACGCAGAGGGGGAAGTAGAGACAGCACATAGACACACCCTGCCATGCATCTCCTCGCCTATTAGATAAACACTGGGGGTGGGGGTCGGGGACATAAAGTGGCCAGCAACTAGTTAACCACCAAGTGTGCAGGTGGGACTGCTAGCCACCAAGCAGTGCAGAATGGGACTGTTCCATTATGCACCCACTCGCATGTAAACCTCTCAGCCATGTCACGGAGATGGGCAGAAACGAGCCCTGGGCTCTTTCAGCCTCTCCAGCTGGACATTTCTAGTCAGTATAAACGGCGCCATAATGGACTCTATGTTCATCTTTTCTCTTCGGGCCAGGTGAGTCGAACGGGCAGCCTGACTCGTCCTGCTGAGACAATAAAGTGGCCGAAAACGGCCTGGGCTTGTTTTCCACAGAGATGCTGGCAGATGCTTTTATTGGCGGCACATTTCTGCCGGCGAACACCATTCTCACACAGCCACGGCTCCGATCCCCCAGCCTCCCACATACAGATTAATCATCCCCTCACACGGGGGCTACATGGTCTGCCTTGTACATGCAACTCTCTGGGCATCGGCGAGTTCTCAAGTTGAGATCTTCAAGGGCAGCCCCCTGCTTCTTGAGCTAAAAGCCTGGCGAGGCCTCCTTGGGGAAGCGCTTTGAGAGCTACAGATGAGACGTGCTGTGTTGTCTGTAGGTCATCACCGCCTAACGCACACACGCACCTGGGCAGCTAACAGGGGATCCCTATTGCACAGTACAATTCGAGCGGAGACCAGTTTCCGGAGCTGTTACCCCTCACCTCGCTGGTGGCAGGGCAGGCTGGAGAGCACTGTCTCCATTCGGGGTTTACAGCACATTGGTTAAATAAAAAGGGGAGGGAGAAGGAAATCCTCACAGCTTCTGGGGGGCAGAGAAGACATGGCCTGTGTCTATTAGCCAGGAGCTGTACTCCTGTCCGCCTGTAGCGGGGGGAATATGACACACAGCCGCACACCCAGCTCAGATGAAGTCATGGGACCGAGGTCTTATGGTGACAAAACTCAGATCTCCCACGCTCCATTCGGGGTTTACAGCACATTGGCTAAATCAAAGGGGAAGGGGAAGGAAATGCTCACAGCTTCTGGGGGGCAGAGAAGACATGGCCTGTGTCTATTAGCCAGGAGCTGTACTCCTGTCCGCCTGTAGCGGGGGGAATATGACACACAGCCGCACACCCAGCTCAGATGAAGTCATGGGACCGAGGTCTTATGGTGACAAAACTCAGATCTCCCACGCTCCTGGCCAATGACGAGGCTCCAGAACGGAGTCTAGCCTAGATGGAAAGCGCCCCCTAGTGGTTCTCAAGCAGCTTTATGGCCATCTTGATTTGACTTGGCTTGGAAAATCAAGGAGGGAGAAACCAAGGGGGATTGTGGAAGGCTGCAATGAACATGTAGGCCTCATGCAAACACAAACACCCCCTAACAACCAGCTATCAGGACACAGGCAACAACCCTTGGAAGGGTAGTTGATTAAAAAAACATGTTTGTTCCCTGTGGAAAACTTCAATTTTCAGTAGAAATTTAAAACTAAATCCTTTTGGCCAAACCCCAAATATGTCATTTTGGAAATGCTGCTGCTTTGCCTGATAGGAGCTGTAGTCTGGATGCCTTAAATTCCCATTGCTTCACATAGGCCAGTCTCCCTGGTCAGACTACAAATCCCTTGATGCTCCAGAAATGCCTTCTTCACACTGGGAGACCCTAGCCATGGTGCATTGTGGGAAATGTAGGCAGGTCAGCCATACAAAATGGAAACAGGAGGCACAAACTACAATTCCCATGAAGCACCATGGTAACATTTCCTAATCCAAAAAATTCCATTTTCCCTCACAGATTCTTTTTCATGACAGAGAATAGTCTTCTACACAAAGCAGCTGCTTTTCTGTAAATTTTTTGTTCTGCCAAAAATTCCAATTTTCCCAGGAACAACAGCTTTTTTAATGGTAAAACTTTTGAACGGACCAAATTTCCTCTCCAAAGAGCTGTTAGTGGTTCAGGTACCGTGTGCTGGGTGATCCCACGAGCACACCATGGAAAACTAACCTGGCTCTTTATTATGCAAATTATGGCACAGAGATGCTGCAACTGCAGCCCAGATGTCAGTCCTCGTGTGACGTAGTGGGGTGTGCTGTACACTCTTGTGGCCCTGCGTCCACGATGGTTGGGCATTCACTAGTGCTGTGTTGTGCTGTGGGTGACCCCTACTGGCCTGTGTCTGTAAGCACTACCCCAGGGTGGGGGAGGGAGAGGCATCCCTGAGGACAAGCAGGTAGGCATGGTGAGCAGCTTCACACCTGGCCAGGGGAAGGAGTTTGAACAAAGGAAGGGGTGTGGCTACCTGGGGAGATGAGTGGTCTGTGGTTTGGAGAAGGGGCTGTCTTGGCTGGGCAAACATGAAGAGAACAGACTAAGTCGAGCACTGAGGGATCAGGGGGCCTGTGTACCCCTGTCTGACCCTTACTCCTATGTCCACATTGACCCCGGGCTGTGCTGTATCTCTGAGAAGCAATAAACCCCCCTTATTTCACTAGCTGGCGGAGTCACGTCTAGCTGCAGATGGGGGTGCTGGGTTGGGGGTACCTGATGCGCCGCCACACCTGGGCACACGGCCTGACTTCCAGGTGCCTCCTCCACGCTCTTCACTCCTGCAAC